CCCCCGCCCCGCCCCCGGACCGGGAGCCTCCCCGGGGGAGGACAAGGGTCCGGGCTGGGGAGACGGGGACACGGGGGGGGCGCGGGCAGGGCACACAGAGCGATGGGGCCGTGGGGACAAAGGGATCTGGGGACAGGGAGACATCGGGGTGCAGGGACTTGGGGGTGTCGGGACACAGGGACTTGGGGACACGGGGACCTGGGGACAAAGGGATCTGGGGACACGGAGACATTGGGGTGCGGGGACTTGGGGGTGTCAGGACACAGGGACGGGGGCACACAGGGACGCGGGGACAAAGGGATCTGGGGACACAGAGACACGGGGATGAGGGGACTTGGGAACATGGAGATGCAGGGACTTGGGGACACAGGGATCTGGCCGCCCCCGGACCGGGAGCCTCCCCGGGGGAGGACAAGGGTCCGGGCTGGGGAGACGGGGACACGGGGGGGGGGGGGCGCGGGCACACAGAGCGATGGGGCCGTGGGGACAAAGGGATCTGGGGACAGGGAGACATCGGGGTGCAGGGACTTGGGGGTGTCGGGACACAGGGACTTGGGGACACGGGGACCTGGGGACTTGGGGACAAAGGGATCTGGGGACACGGAGACATTGGGGTGCGGGGACTTGGGGGTGTCAGGACACAGGGACGGGGGCACACAGGGACGCGGGGACAAAGGGATCTGGGGACACAGAGACACGGGGATGAGGGGACTTGGGAACATGGAGATGCAGGGACTTGGGGACACAGGGATCTGGGCACACAGGGATGTGGGGACCTGGGGATGTGGGGACTTGGGGACAAAGGGATCTGGGTACACGGAGATATCGGGGTGCGGGGACTTGGGGACGTCAGGACACAGGGACTTGGGGACACGGGGACCTGGGGACAAAGGGATCTGGGGACACGGAGACATTGGGATGCAGGAACACAGGGACTTGGGCACACAGGGATGTGGGGACATGGGGACAAAGGGATCTGGGTACACGGAGATATCGGGGTGCGAGGACTTGGGGATGTCAGGGCACAGGGACGTGGGGACACAGGGACCTGGGGACACAGAGACACGGGGATGAGGGGACTTGGGGACATGGAGATGCAGGGACTTGGGGACACAAGGATCTGGGCACACAGGGATGTGGGGACCTGGGGACAAAGAGACATGGGGATGTGGGGAACTTGGGGACATGAGGACAAAGGGATCTGGAGACATGGGGTGCAGGGACAAAGGGATCTGGGCACACAGGGACGCGGGGACACAGGGACGCTGGACCCACTGCTGGCGGCAGCCGTGGGGCTGTGCTGGCTCTGCCGCAGGGAGCGGGGGACGCCCTGTCCGTCTCCGTGCCGGAGCAGCACATCCGGGGCGCAGCACGGCCGCGCCAGGACGGGGCCGCTTCCGCGCGGCGGGGAAGGGCGCTTCCTCCCTGCAAACCGCAGCCGGCCCAGCACGGCACCGGGTCCCCGGGGAGGCCATGCTCCCCCCACGGCAGGGCCCCAGCGTGCCGGGCTCCCCGCCAGCCCCCCAGGAGCGGGGCGATCCTTGGTGTTGGCACGTTACGGCACGGCTCGGCACGGAACAGGCCAGGGCAGCCAGGCCAACCCTCCTGCCGTCGGTGCCGCCGTCCCCAAACGCTCCGGGGACAGAGCGCCTGTCCCTCGGGTGCTGCTCTGTGGGACGGAGCTGGGACCAGGCCTCGCAGGTGGGGGACGAGGAGGAGGAGCGATGGCGGTGCCGGGAAGCCAAGGCCTGGTGCCGAAGCCCAGGGAGGAGCCGCGGAGGCCCAGCCTCGCTGTCTGCCCTGGCAGGGCCCAGCGGGGCAACCCCGGGGTGCCA